TACAACTAGATTATAAGCTTTTAGGGCCTGGGTCATGTTTTCCTCATGCCTTGGACAAAGTGTTCAGTAAGTGTCTTAAAACTGTTCCAACCGAGGGAACCAGCAGTTAGCGTAATGGCTATGTCGCTGGACTCCCACGTAGTCGACCGCGGTTCGCGTCCCGGACCCGGTGGCTTAAAACTCATGCCGGGCGCGTGTGCGTGCGTTCCCAAGATCCCGAGAGGAGAATGGAGGAGAAGGAATTGCGGCGTGGCCATCCCCCCTGGGGGGGTGATTTCTCGCTTTCTGTCTCTATGTCTCTCTCTGTCTGTCTGGCGAGCGCACGCGCCCTATAGCGAAAACCTCTCTCAAAAAAAAAAAAAACTACTGTTCCAACCGAATAATGTTTCTGTTATAGTGCTGCCTCTGTTAGTTGGCATGTGGACACTTAATTTTTAGTGGAGGAAGATGCTGGTGGCCGAAGTACAGAGAGAAGGCAGGAGTTTGTTTCCATGATGTGTTTTCATCTGGCTCAGTAGTTCTTAACCTTTTTGAGGTCATGGCCTCAAATGATACCACAGTTAAGTTTATGAGAAAATGTACATAGGCACACACGGAATTGTACATGCTGTTTCCGGGAGTTCTTGGGCCCTCTGGAGCCCTGGAGATTATTGGCTTATTCTAGTGGGTTCATTTAAACAAGTTTAAACACTTTAAGTGGACTGTATTATCCAACCACGCGTGGTCCCATTTGTTTCTATTTGGGCTTGCTTCCAGGTGATGTGTGCACACAGGAAACAATCCCAGGCTCATTACACATCTACTGCTGAAAACTAGTGTACGTTACACCCCCTTCCCTCTCGCTGTGGAAACTGCGAATGCACATGGATTTGTTGGAGAAGTACAAAAAGACGATGAGTTCTGCCCAAGCAGAGAAAAAGTTTTTACATACATCTGTGCAGATAGTACCTAAAAACTATTAAGAGTTAGCTACCTTTTTTTTGTTTAAGTTTTGCTATAGGGCATGTGTGCTCACCATAGTTAGAAAGATAAAGAGACAGAGAGAAAGAAATCACCTCCCTAGGGGAATGGCCATATTGTAATCTCTTCTCCCATTCTTCTCTCAGGATTTTGGGCATGCACATACATGTGCCTGGCGTATTTTCCAAGTTGCCCCATCTGAGACTCAAACATCCCTGTTGGCCATGTGGGATCCAGCCGTCCCCACACCTCCAGCCGACCCCTCAGGTTACCATCTTCACTGCTGTCATTTTTATGTGTCCACATTTTTAAAAAGTGTTTTTTAGAATATAAGGCATCTTATAACCTATGACCTCAGTCATGTTATTTTAAAAATAATAGGGCCAGGAGGTGGCAACATGTTTTAAAGCAGCTGGATCCCACATGGCCAACTGCATGGATCAAATCCTGCCCCCCTTGACTTAAAAAACATGCCAAGCACATGTGCATGCATGTCTCATACTCCATGGATAGAGAAATAGAGGAGAAGGGATTGCAGTGTGACCATGCCCTTGGAGGGGAGCCGATTTCATCCTCTCTGTCTCTCTCTGTCTCTGGTGAGCACACTCGCCATCTGGCAATCAGTCAATCAATCAGAATAGTCAAAAGGAGAAAAGAGTAAAGTGTTATAGAAATACGAGATACTTGATTTTAGTTGAGGTAAACTTTATACCTAGTGTTAGAAAGATAAAGAGAAGGAAAGTAAGAAATCACCTCCCTAGGGGAATGGACACATTGTAATCTCTTCTCCCATTCTTCTCTCAGGATTTTGGGCATGCACATACATGTGCCTGGCGTATTTTCCAAGTTGCCCCATCTGAGACTCAAACATCCCTGTTGGCCATGTGGGATCCAGCCGTCCCCACACCTCCAGCCGACCCCTCAGGTTACCATCTTCACCGCTGTCATTTTTAATGTGTCCACATTTTTAAAAAGTGTTTTTTAGAATATAAGGCATCTTATAACCTATGACCTCAGTCATGTTATTTTAAAAATAATAGGGCCAGGAGGTGGCAACATGTTTTAAAGCAGCTGGATCCCACATGGCCAACTGCATGGATCAAATCCTGCCCCCCTTGACTTAAAAAACATGCCAAGCACATGTGCATGCATGTCTCATACTCCATGGATAGAGAAATAGAGGAGAAGGGATTGCAGTGTGACCATGCCCTTGGAGGGGAGCCGATTTCATCCTCTCTGTCTCTCTCTGTCTCTGGTGAGCACACTCGCCATCTGGCAATCAGTCAATCAATCAGAATAGTCAAAAGGAGAAAAGAGTAAAGTGTTATAGAAATACGAGATACTTGATTTTAGTTGAGGTAAACTTTATACCTAGTGGAACTTATGACCTTAAATATACAACTCTATGAGTTTTAGTATGATAGAGTCTCCACCGCAGTCTAGATCTAGACATTGTTCATTACTCCATGAAGTTTCTGTTCACGTCCTCCTGTCAGCCCCAACTCGCTTAGGCAGCCACCGTCCACTAACAGACTTCACTAGAGGAGGTAAGAGGACTACATGGATTGGACATAGAACAATGTCTGGTTTCTCGTTCTTTTGCTGGTTGGCGAGAACGTTCCTTTTGACGTTACTAAGCATAGTTCCCTGTTGTTTTTCAGCCCATGGACCAAGCTTCTCTGAAAAACAGCGATGTTCTCATTCTGACAGGTCTTACCCAGATTCCTACCGCAAACCCAGATGGCATGGTCGGGGAGTTCTGCAGCAACCTGGGTATGCAGCCATTTCTGATCCGAAATCAGATATTTCTGACTTCATTACTCAGTACCTTCCCTCTCTCATGTCCTTTGCCCCTCCCCTGCACATTTTCACCCTCTGATGCCTTTTCAAAAGCCTCACACTTCGCCCCCCCTACACTTCTTCCATTGTTTTTGGCAATCCTTCAAAGCCTACTGTTATCAGCAAGAATTTTAAGTAACTTAAATCTGTAGGTGTCGTAGGAATGAGGACTAGGAATGAGGAGAAGGGATTACGATGTGGCCATTTCCCCAGGGGTGGTTTCTCACTTTCTGACTTTCTGTCTCTCTGGCAAGCATACACACCCACCCTATAGCAAAAATCTCTATTTTTAAAAAAGAGAGAAAGGGAAAGAAAAGAAAGAAAAATCTCCAATAGAAAAATGGAAAAATTGCAAATATTGGTTTGAAAGTTGCATTCTACCTTTAACAAACACTCTTCTTTAAATACGACCTGTTTCTCCTTTGGATCCAACCTTTCTAGCGCTGACAGTCCGGAACGGAGGGAATGTGCTGGTTCCCTGCTACCCTTCTGGAGTGATCTATGACCTCCTGGAATGCCTGTATCAGTACATCGACTCGGCCGGCCTCTCCAACATCCCCTTCTACTTCATCTCCCCTGTGGCTAACAGTTCACTGGAGTTCTCCCAGATCTTTGCTGAATGGTATGTTTGATTCAGTCCATTCAAGCCATAAGGAGACAAGCATACACACCCACCCTATAGCAAAAATCTCTATTTTTAAAAAAGAGAGAAAGGGAAAGAAAAGAAAGAAAAATCTCCAATAGAAAAATGGAAAAATTGCAAATATTGGTTTGAAAGTTGCATTCTACCTTTAACAAACACTCTTCTTTAAATACGACCTGTTTCTCCTTTGGATCCAACCTTTCTAGCGCTGACAGTCCGGAACGGAGGGAATGTGCTGGTTCCCTGCTACCCTTCTGGAGTGATCTATGACCTCCTGGAATGCCTGTATCAGTACATCGACTCGGCCGGCCTCTCCAACATCCCCTTCTACTTCATCTCCCCTGTGGCTAACAGTTCACTGGAGTTCTCCCAGATCTTTGCTGAATGGTATGTTTGATTCAGTCCATTCAAGCCATAAGGAGAAATATTAGCATGTTTTTTTCCCCATGTATAAGAAACTTTCATTATGTTTCTGATTGAATAAGAAGATTGTATTACTGAAAACTAAATCTGTTATATTGCTAGAGTTTAGAAGAGCAAAGCATTTAAGACAAAAACTTGGCCAACACTTTCAAAATCAGTAACAGAAATGTATACTTACCTTTTCACATACCACCCTCTGCCCATTATAAAATGAAGCTCTGCTCTAAAAGTTAGAAAAACATTAAACTCCACACTCATGTTGCCTAAAATTTATAATACCAAATTGACCAGAAAAACTATTTTTTCATGTCAGTAGCATGATACTTGACAAAATCATATTTTATTACAGCAGAAAATTGTTTTATCATATTCTAGAGTCAGCAGATTACTGATAATACATAAGTCCATGAGCCTTTTTAAGGTTATTTAGAAACGTGTTTAAATCTAATGTCCTAGCCAAAAAAGGGAGCAGGGAAGAGAAATAGATTCACTTAATTTTTACAATATACTTCTTGTTCCCAAGAGCTCAGGTTCTAAGACACGCATGGTATAAGGTGTGTTTTATCCCTTTTAGCAGTGGGTAGCCACATGGATTCAGCTTTATTAAATTTCTAATTTAAAAGGAATTTGTCCAGCGTTCTATTATAATTTATCCCAACGTTATGCTGCCTCTAACTCCTGTCCTTCTTTAAGTACATTTTTTTGTCTCTTTTAAATGTAGTCAAGGTCTTTATTTTTTCTGTGTTAAGACTCAGACAAGCTTCCCTGTCCCCTGTGCATATTCGTTTTTGTCCATAGAATTGTCCCTTTTTGTTTCACTCACTGAATATTTCATTTTGAATTCTACTTCTCAGGGAATTAAATACTAAAGCATTATAAAATCTTTAGGAACATAATTTTTCCACAGTTACATCATTACATCATTTGTACATCATTTATATACAGTATAATTTAGTTAGCTATATTATTTTTGCTCCCTCATAGTTTAGCTTTACTTGGTAATACACTTCTTTTTAGTCTTTTTTTAAATATTTAGTTACTGTACATCTTTGCAGCATACAAAGTGAACATTCCCAGCATGAATACACTGTGTATTAGTGCAAAGATATTACACCACGCATTATCATCAACAGATAAAACTATGGAATGCTTCACAAATCTGTGCCTCTTCCTTGCTCCAGGGCCACGCTAATCTTCTCTGTATCATTCCAACTTTAGTGTATGTGCTGCCGAAGCAAGGACAGTCAACTGTATTCTTACTGCATGGAAGTGCCTCTCCCAGGTTTTTTGCTGTTAATAATAAATCTTCAGTTAACATTCTATGTCTATATGATGACATCTTTTGCTTTAGGTAAATTACTGAAAGTGGAATTACGGGAACAAAGGGTATAAATATATTTTAGTGTTCATTATCCAAATCTAAATTGATTTCCAGAAAGATTTTTATGTAAATTATTCCTTTTTTTGCTCATTTACTTGTTAGAGGTTTTATACTTCTCTCATATATTTGTTTGAGCTCTTAATATATTAAAGACTTTTTGTTATACTTAAAGCTATTTTTATCCATTTTGACACTGGGTTTTGAATTTTGTCCTTGATTTTTTGGTTTTTAAAATAATGAACTGGGCTGGCCCCATAACTTCATGGTTAAGGGGGCCAGATTGTACAAGGCTAACTGCATTTTGAATGTCAGCCCTGGGGATTCGAAAGACAGGAGTGTATGTGCATGTGTACCGCACAACCGCACTGGAAGGAGAAACGGAGGGAGAAGGGATTGTGGCATGACCACATCCCCATTGGAACGTGCTTTCCCCCGTCCTTCTCTGTCTGTCTCTGGCAAGTACACATACCCTCTGGCAAATTTTTTAAAAAGGAAAAAAAGAAGAAAAACTATCAGAGCTGTGTAAGACTGATATACAGTGATGTCGTACTTCCTCTGTGTAGACATCACTGTATTTTAAGATCATATCTGGATATTGCTTTCAGGGACTTAAAATGAAGATTTTCTGCTGAAACCTCCCCCCACACACACTCATTTCTAGTGGGTAGTGCATCTTGTCTCTTTTTCTCTATTTCTCTCTGTGTCTCTCTCTTGTCTCCCTGTATCTTTTATTTATTTTTTTATTTTAATTTTTTTTTAAGGTAAAGTATTCTCTGGGCTCTCAAGCCCCTTCTTTATTGTACTAATTGCGCCTTTCCCAATTCTATTTAGGAAAGGCACAGAGCCAGGCCCATCTTCACATGGATCCTGAACTTCAGCTGTGAAATACTGCTTTCATGCGGTGTGCAAGCATTTTTACTTTTCCATTTTTATTTTTTAAAATTAAAATCTTAAGTTTTTTATTATCTTTTTCTTTTTCTTTTATATTTTACTCTTCTTTCCTCTTCTCTAATTCTTTTCCTTCTTCTTTATCTTTATTCATTGTCTTCTCAGCTCCTACACACTAAGTGTCTAGGCAGGTCCAAGTGAATGGGATCTAAACATCTGAATATGATTGGGGTTCGAATATTCCTCTATTCCCACTGATTCTGATGCACAAAGAGTGAAAACGAAACGGAAGAGAGATTGCACATCACCTCCTCCTGCACGCCTCTGAACGCTCAGATTGAGCTTCAAGAATTGTATCCCAGAAGGGAAAGAAACACCATCCATCTCCATCAGATGACTAGAAATCACCGCAGGGTCACAAGAAATATGGAAAAACAAGAAAATACCTCTCTTCCAAGGAAAAATAATAACTCCTCTTCATCCTCAGACAGTACGATGAAATTCATGGAAATGTCAGATAAAGAATTTAGAATTTTTATGGTGACAAAGCTCACAGAAATCGAAGAGAAGAGAGACAATGAACTGCCAAAGAGGCAGGGGAAAGAAGCTGACGAGCTCCAAGAGGTGAGGAAATTTTGGCAAGATCTAAAAGAGGAAGTACACACTGTAAAAAAGAATCAAATGAACCTGTTAGAGATGAAGACTATAATATAGGAAGTCAGAACCTCCCTTGAAAGTATTAAAAGCAGACTAGATCATACCAAAAATCGAATCTCAGATGTGGAAGATAGAATCACTGGCCTAGAAAAATCCACCACAAAGACTGAGAAAATTGCCAAAAAAAATGAGAATGATATACAAGAAATACAAGATACTATCAAATGTCCAAACATCCAGATAATTGTATCCCAGAAGGGAAAGGGACTCATAAGGGCATTAACAGTCTATTCCTTGAAATCCTGGAAGAAAACTTTCCAAACCTAGAGAGGCATTCAAAGATCCAGACTCACAAAATACTAAGGACCCCCAATAGAATCAACCCAAGAAGATCTTCTTCCAGACACATTATAATCAGATTGACAAAAACCACAAAGACAAAGACAAGATACTAAGACTGGCAAGAGAGAAATGTCAAGTTACCTACAAAGGATATCCCATCAGGCTGACAGCGGATCTCTCATCAGAAACAATGTGAGTGAGGAAAGAATGGGGAAATTTACTCAAAGTGTTAAGGGAAAAGCAATTTCAACCAAGAATACTATATCCAACAAGATTATCCTTTATATGGGAAAAAAAGACAAGAACATTTCAGATAAACAAAACCTGAAAGAATTTACCAACAGCAGACCAGATCTCCAAGAAGTTCTGCAGGGTGTGCTATACCAGGAAAATTAAATACAATCACACAGAAATAAGAGTTCAAAAACTAAGAAAATGGCCAACTTAATCGTGGGGACAAGTCTGGAGTTGAATATTATATCCCAGAATATTATCAGGAAGATTGGACCACAAGAGAAGATATATTAAGTACATGAGACTGAACTCGTGAAATAGAATTTTATAACTTTTGACTAAAACATTGCTGATTTTCTTCTAGGCTTTCTTTTCCAGTTTTTAGGATTTTTGTCCTGTCTTGAGCTGCTGATAGGTTCATGTACCTACTATTTGAACAGAATCCCAATCTGTTTCCTGACTTTAAGTTTTAAGCATAGTTCCTTAGCATTTCTTTGATTTATTAAAGGTAAAACTGTTTTTCTTGAAATTAAAAAATATAGTAAAAAATACATTATTAATGATTGTAGTACACTATATAGCATCTGGCAAGTGCTACCTTATAGTATATTCATTCTACTCAGAATTTCATGCCTAAAGTCAGACTACTTTTGTGAATCAACAAAATGTAGGAGGGGAGAGAAGGAATGGAAAACAACTGGAAAACTGACATAGTGTGGGAGGAGGATGGGAAATGGCAGAGGGTGAGAAATAGGGGAAAATATATATACATATATATGCGTACATATATATATATATGAAACTAGAAATGGAAAATTATTGACAATAACATGTATGATTAAGCCAGTATTCAGTATATTCTGGATGTGAAATCACATTTTGTATGCTGTGACAATGCTCAGTGAATGAATGTAAATTAATTAATTAAAAACAAAAAAAAATTTAAAAATCATATCTGACTAAGGGAAACCAGATTACCTGAAATATCCACCTTGTCTCTAGACTGAGATCCCTAGTTACTCCCCAACTGGCGTTAGCAATGCTGCTATTAATGAAATTACGTATGTACAAAACAGCCATGTCTGGAAAAGGTAGATCACTGTCTCCTCAGTGTCGATCACAATTAAATGCCGTATGGTGTCTTGGGTCGGATCATGGAACAGAAAAGACTTGAGTGGGAAAACCATGAAATGCTAACAAAGTCTAGAGTCTAGTTAATTTTAATATACCAATGTCAGTGTCTTAGTTTGACAAATGTAACACACTAACATCAGATATTAACGCTGGAAATGTGGAATGAAGGATGCACAGGAACTCCTGTCTTTGCAGCTTTCCTGGAAATGTAAATTACTCTAAAATGAAAGTTTCTTTTTTTAAAAGAATTATTTTATTTAACTTTATTTGTGTATATATTTATTTATTTTATGTTTGAGCAGAGAAGGAGAGGGAGGGTGAGAGAGAGAGAAAGTGAGAAACCAAGCCATCAGATCTAGGACTTGAACCATGGTTGGCCTTATCCACCACACCACCTGCCGGTCCCGACAAGTTTATTTTTTAAGAAAAAGTATATTGAGGAATTTTTAACGATGAAGAAAAAAAAGATGCTCGCCAGAAACCTGTGTCCTAAATCCTGTGTTCTGGCTCTCTCGCGTTTATTCACAGTGAAAGTCATTGGCAGGGAATTTTTAAATAAACTTTGGTACTTAGTATTGTCCTGTGGCCACTAGGTGGCAACAAAAGCCACAGCTTGCCCTTCCTAACATCCTGATCTGTTTTTCTTCGATAGGCTTTGTCACAACAAACAGAGCAAGGTGTATCTCCCAGAACCTCCTTTTCCTCATGCAGAGGTAAGAAACAAAAATTATTGGTTCAGATTCAGGAAAAAATGTAGGTAAGTTGATGTGGCTGGAGCTAGCAAGTAAGTCATCAGAGGAGAAAATAGCCGCAGATACACTGCCAGATCCTTTGGCATCCCAGGTAAGATGGCAGTGAAGCACTCCAACTCCAGATTCATTTTTCTCGGCTCTGATTAATACATTAGGTTACTACTGTCTGTGCAGTTCATAACCTACCTCTGTTCTGTCGACTGGGTGAGGAGTTTTATTCTAACACCTACTGCTTTTTTGGATCACAGATCACTTTGGTGATTCACAAGTGTCAGGAGACTTATTTGTTTTCAAACAGTAACTGATAATGAAAACCTTAGACTGGGCAGGGAGTTTCAGAAAGTTAGAAAAGGAAGTATTAGACTAGATTAGGCCATGACAACCTGATAAAAGTTTCCAGTAACTATGTTAATATTAGCAAAAAGATTCCACTTTCCCATGTGTTCCAAAAGACATATTGCAGGTAAAAACTTTTAATCTTTGGCTAATTTAAGGAGGTTTGTTTGTACTTTTTTTTTTTTTTTTTTTTTGAGAGGTTTTCACTATAGGGTACATGGCTCGCCAGAAAGACAGAGAGAGACAGAGAGATAGAAAGTGAAAAATCGGGAACCAGCAGTTAGCGTAATGGGTATGTTGCTGGACTCCCACGTAGTTGACCGCAGTTTGCGTCCCGGACCCGGTGGCTTAAAACTCAAACACTGGGCGTGTGTGCGTGCGTGCCCAGGATCCCGAGAGGAGAATGGAGGAGAAGGGATTGCGGCATGGCCATCCCCCCTGGGGGGTGATTTCTCGCTTTCTGTCTCTAATGTCTCTTTCTGTCTGTCTGGCGAGCACACGCACCCTATAGCGAAAAT